GGGCAGGGGGCAGGGTGGACAAGAGTCAAACAGGGTAAAGTCTGTGGCAGACACCAGCCCTGGGCCTTCAACACCTTGGGCTTGGCCCTTTGGCTGGTGGTTGCCAAGCAAAATCATGGAGCTAGCCCTTGTCTCCAAGAGAAGGCAAGAACTCAGATTGTCACCCAGTGTTGTCTTTATTAAGCTCTTCCGGTCACTTCTATGAGTTTTAAGTACCAGGGAAAGAGTAATTCCTGCAGTTTTTAAGCTGGGTTTGGCAGTTTCACTAGCAGTCCTGGCCTCTGATAGCCACGTCCAGAGACAGCAAGGAGACATTTGGAGACCAAGGTTTTTACATCATCTTTAAAAAAAAAAAAAATTATTCCCTGACACCCTGAAGAAGGAAATGGGGGTTCAATGTGAATTTCTGTCAGCTACAATCAGACGACAGATTTACAGTCTGCTGCCGCAGAGGGCACAATTCACCCTGCAGGACTAAAGGAAGGAGTTACCCAAACCCCCTCCCTGTGGCAATTTGGGAACAAGGAGACGGACTCTCAGGATGCCCGTGTACGTGGGAACATTAGGTCAATACTTATCTCTTCGTGAAAAGTCCCAGATGTCCATTGATTTCTGTGAGAGTCTCTCACCAGCTTCAAAACTTTAGATACAGTACTTTCAGGCTAGGGGCATGGTTCAGTGGGTTAAGTGTCCGCTGACAGGCATAAGGACATGGGTTCGAACCCCCAGCATCCATATCAAAAGTTGGACAACATAGTTCACAGCTGTAAACCAAATGCCTTGGGGAAGAGGCCAGATGATCTGAGGGCTTATGGAGCATAGCCAGAACAGCCAGCTTCAGACTCAATGAGAGACGCTGTCTAGAAAAATTAATAGAGAGAAGGGCCTGAGAGAAGCCATCTTCAGTTCAGTCAGTGTTCTCGACATGTAACTGCTTGGATGAGTATTCTCTATCTGTTTGTCTGTCTGTCTATCTATCTATCTATCTATCTATCATCTTATAACACACACACATACACACACACACACACACACAAACACACTTACTTTAAAAGCCTGCCTCAGGCCTACAAAAGTATACAGTAAACTGTAGAACATTGGTAGATCCACAACCTCGCTTGCAGACTAAATCACTGTTGGTAAATGTTTTTCCCCCAGACATTAAATATCTTCAGCTTTGTGGGGGCTGGACACAGCCTCTCTTAGAAGGACTCTGCCCAGAGGTTAGAGTGTAACTGTAACCATGCTCGTGACAGTAGGTTACAGCCTGTTGGAATTTTACCCATGGACACTCACATTTCAGTTTTATATCATATTCACATGTTGGGGAATGCTGTCCTTCTTTTGATTTTTTTTCTTAACTCTTTAAAAACGTGAAAACTTGGGCCGGGGCCGAATTCAGCAGTAGAGTGTACTTGCTTGACACCCGCAAAGCCCGGGGTCCAATCTCTAACACTACAAAGAAAGAAACATGAAAACTTTGTGCTACTCTTAGCTCACAGGTTGGAGTAGGAGATAGACTGGAGCTAGCCTGGGCTAAGGGGTCATTGTTCAGAAATGAACAATGAGAAATCTTCAACAGAAGTAACGCTGATCCAGCTGAACTCCCAGGGTCCACTGCTTAGAGCCCCAGCCCTTCCCTCCTGAGAGAGAATTTTATCATTTCTATTCATCATGCTGTCTTCTTTTTTTCCTTCTTAAAATAATTATTTGCATTTGTATATACAGTATGTACAGGTGTCCAAAGAGGCCAGAGAGAGTCAGATCCCTGGAGCTGACTGTTGGCTGAGTCTCCTGATGGAGGTTCTGGGAACCAAACCTGGGTCCTCAGCAAGAACAGTATGCACTCCCAACCCCGAGCCTTCTCTCTAGCTCACACTGCCGTCCTTTGATCTCATGCACTTTAACGGCGAGCGATCCTGACTCATGTGACTTGGCATCTTCACATGGGTACCCTTCTGCCTCTTTGCTGGGTGGCGGCCATTGATCGTCATGCTGCGTGGGCTCCCACTCAGTTCTTGTTATGGCTGCCTGCACAGTGTTATCTGAGCATGCTGTCTGTGCTGGCCCAGTCTTGTGGTGCATATAGTTGCTTGGGCAGCTGCCTCCAGCTGGTCCCTTCCTCACCTTAACTCCTAGCCTGCAGCATGGTCTTGACAGGGGGGGGGCATTTTGATGGTCCCTAACTTTTACACGTACTCAAGTCAGCAGGATCAGAACTAGACAGAGATGAATCCATGATGTTCCTGTGGCAAATCTAGTCCACGGCCACTGTGTGTTCTGCCCACAGTGCATCCCATCAGCGCAGTGGTACCTGCCCATGCCCAGGACGGCCTCAGCTAGTGAAATGCTCAGTAAGTGTAGCCTCTCACTGACTGTGGCAGTCAGCTGTGAGTATTGTGAGCTGAAGTCTAGGCCGCTGATTGTGGCTACCCCACACACTGTGAGTGTTGGCAGGCAGTCACATACCCCAGCCATAGCAGGTAAGAACTTAGGAGTAACTATGGTTACGGTTATGGTGCCAGTGTGGGGCATTTTGAGGAAAAGTTAAGAAAACCCATTTGGTACTTGTATGGACCCCACTTCCATGCCTACCCCAGTGACATGTCAAAATCTAGAACAATTCCAGATCCAGGGTTTTCTTTCTTAGAATGGGTGGCTGTGCCCCTTCTAGAGGCACTCGGGTTCTAGGAATGGACCCCATTGTCTCACATGTGTAAGGCAACTACCTGCCTCACTCCTCGCTAGCCCTCCTGTTACTTATCATTTTGTGGCAGAGTCTCACAAAGTTTTCCCAGGCTGGCCTTGAACCTTTGATTCTTCACCCTCAGCATCCCAGACCGTTGAGATTAGAGATCTGTGGCACCAGGCCACATTCTAAAGGCACATGTGAAACACTATGGCTGTCATCTGTGTCCTTTTCCACCTGTGCAAAGCCCACTCCAAGTGCCCTCCGCCAGCCCCTCTAGTCCCTGGAAGTCAGAACACCAATCCTCTCCTCCCCTGTCACCCCTTACTCTCCTGAGAAGTCTCCCCAGTTCAAGGGCAATCCAGAACAGAGACCAAAGCACAGTAGTTCTGATAGGAAAATTCAGATCACAGGAGTCATTTTAAATGAGTGGGCGTGTTCTCTCTCTAGGGCAAGAACTTCATTTCCATTTTGACAAAAAAGTTTGTGAATTTGTATAATATAGAATCTATTAGAAGGTTGGGAATAAGAAATCAGCTTTTAATATTTACATACTTAGGGGAAGAAATCTGACTCATTAGCAAACATACATTAAGAATGAATACATTATACTTCCCTTTGTCTCTACTCAGGTACAAGGCAATGTTAGAAGTGGTGATCTCACCCAGCCTCGCAGCAAGCAGTGACTGGAGCGAGCACCGTGCTGCCGTGGGGACGCTGAGTGACAGAGAAGGTAGGCCTCTGCTAAAGTTTGGCTGCATGGTTTAAGAAGGTTTTGTTTATTCGTGACAGACTGAGGGACCCGTGGTACCATTCCCAGAACCTACAGTTCACATTGATGGTTCTAGAACAGAACCAGTGTGCCCATAGATCACAGTCCTGTCCATCACTCAAGCGACAGGTAGACATAGTCATGACCTGAACTGCCCTTCTTGGTCCCTGATTCCAGAAAATCCCAACATTGCTATGAAGGACCATAGCATTGGGTGCATTTCTGGCCACCTAAGGCATCGTCTGCTGGGTCTCCAGCTTTTTTCCTTACCTCCCTCCTGACACCTCCCTCTCCCAACAGCAGTCTTGTTCACAAGATCCCCAAAGAAGAACTTGTCTACCTGCTGCTTTCAGGTTGGGTTGAAGTCAAGGAAGCAGAAGAAAGTTTAAGCTGTTGAGAAAATTATTGGCAAATGATGCTGCCAGACTAGTTTTCTCCAGAACAATCTGACCTTTTGTTTGCTCTGCGGGGATTGTCGGCCTTCCTGGTAGTGCTTCAGGTGCACAGAAGGCATTAAGCTATCTTGCTGAAGCAGTAGGCTTAACCCTTTCCCCGGCGCTATGCTGAGGCATTTGCTGCCAGTGGTATCCTCAGACATGGGCTTGCCCTTTCCCTTTTATGATCTCTGTGTGATGCTAGATCATGGAACAGGAAAGCTTACAGGACTGTCCCAAGTAACCAGCAGGTCATGTGTCCAGTGCACAGCGATGTCACACAGGACATTTTGAGAGCAAATCCAGGCTTCTCTGACTAATTGTCTTCTCATCAAGACTATGACATTACCCCTTCCTGCTACAAGAAGCTAGACAACCCTGTTCAAAATCTCACCACAAAGGCGTGGGCTCTGAGAACAGGACTGGATGGCAGAGGGCACACAGCAGTTCTCCTGGCACCCACTAGCATCTGTGCAAATGACCCTCTTTGAGGGTTTAAAAGGAATTACCAGCCCGGCTCAAAGGTCTTCACCATTTTCTTTCTGGGTAGAGGCCCAGGCTAGTTTCAAACTGTGTCTCAATCTGCTTGGACTGAATCCGCGTGAAAAGGGTCTGGGCCATGGGTGTGGAACATCTGGGTCTCACTCCCAGCCCAGCCACTGCCTAGCCAGGCAATCTTTTCTCAGTTTCCTCCTCTGTCAAATGGGCCGTGACAATGACCCACTCTGTAGAGTGCTATACAGGGGATTAAATGAGGTTATGGTGTGTGGCAAGTCTAGCCCTGGCCCACCCCGGCATGGTAAATGATTAACGTAGACCATTGTCACCGTCTGAATCAAATAACCACAGGGATCAGAGGCAGGGTGGAAGTCTGGCCTTGAGTCGTGCATTTGTTTGGTCTTCCTGGTATGTTGTGATGACTTTGTGAAAACTAGGGAGAGTCTTGTCAAAATCTGCTTTCCCTTGAGGTGCTGAATCCTTCAGCTACAAGAGATCTACCTTCCCACCCGCCCACCCACCATTCCTTAGATGAGTCCCTGCTCCTCTCCTTCATCTTTGGTGTTCCTGAGAACTGGCTCTGTAGCAGGCCCTTCCTCATCTCTAGTTTCAAGAAATGCTGACATTACCACAGAACAGGGTCACTTGAGAATGCATTTCTGCCCAGTCCTATGAATCTGGCTCCCTCCTCCCCTCCTTCTCTATCACCGCCACAGAAAACGTTTGGTGGTCATTGTGAACCAGGGGGCTGAGGATGTGGCTCAGTGGTAGAGCACCTGCCTCAAAGTGAGGTGCTGAGAGCATAGCTCAGCAGTGTAGTATCTGCCTAGAGTCCACCAGTGACAGTGCTTCCTTCCTGCATATGCCTTTAAATCCCCTTCCTGTGTAGTACATAGCTCAGCTCCTGGCTTATAGATGAACTTCAGAATTATGGATGGATAGATGGATGCATGCATGCATGCATGCATAAATGGATGGATGTATGGATTCATGGATGGATGCAGGGATGGATGGATGCAGGGATGGATGGATGCAGGGATGGATGACTGCATGGATGGATGATAGATGGATGGATGAATAAGTAGGTTGGTGGATGAGATCATGGGTGAATAGAGAAATGGGTAGATAGATAGATAGATAGATAGATGATTGATAGACGGACAGATGGATAGACAGACAGGTAGATGGACGGATGAGTCAGTGGCTAGGAGGTTGGGTAGATGGCTGAGTAGTTGTGCACTTTGAAACACGGATGCAGACAGGGGAGCTGAGAGATGAGCTAAGTTCAGGTCGGTATTAGCTTTGAACCATTAGCAAGGTTGTCTTCACGTCCCCTGCCCCATTTGCTGCCTCCCTAAGGTTCGGGTCGTTGCAGCCCCCTCGTGGATTCTCCTCTAGTCTTATTTCTGTTGTCATGATAAACCACTCTGACCAAAGTGACTTGGGAGAGGAAAGCGTTCCTTTGGCTTGTACTTCTAGGTCACAGGCCACCACTCAGGGCTGTCAGAGCAATGACTCAAAGCAAGAGCTTGAAGCAGAAACCACAGGGGAGCACACTGCTTGCTGGCTCGCTCAGAGACTCATGCTGGCCAGGTTTCTTGTCTTAATATTCATTTCTCACATGGACATTGGAATGGTGCTTCATACACCTTTGTTTTCTCATTACCTACGCTTTTAATTATAAACTAACCAACCTTCCCATCAACACCACCCCTCTGAGCCGCCTTGAGTTTCATAATCCTCGTACGTATCAAAGCTCATACTGAACTACGAGTTCTGGTTGTAAGAGGTTTGTCTTTGCGTTTGCCTTCACTGGTTTTGTCCACCAGTTGGACATATGTGCTATCAGCCAGCTCTAACCCATGAGCACTGGCCTATGGATGGTGACACCCATAGTGGGATGGGCCCATCAACTAATAATCAGTCTCCCAAAAGACATTCTCACAGGCCAGTCTGGGCAATTCCTTGGTGTCATCTGAGGCTCTTCTCTCAGTTGACTCCAGGATATGTCAAGGTAGAAATTAAAGCTAATAAGGACTTTCTAACCCTTACCAATTTACCCCAAATTATATCACTTCTAAACCATAGCCTTTCAATCCTTCGTCCCCAAGACTTCATGTTAATATTATAAAATAAAATACAACTTTAAAAGCCCCAGTCTTTAAATTTTTCAACACTTTAAAAGTCCAAAGTCCTTTGTAAAATACTAAGTCTCTTAACTGTGAGCTTCAATAAAAATAAATAAATAAATAAATAAATAAATAAATAAATACAAGTTATAAACTTTCTTATCCCACAAGGAAAGATCAAAGCAAAACTAAAATCCAGAAGTGCGAGTCTGAATTATGTAGCTCAGTGTATGACACCTGGAGCTCATTCGTGTTCTTCTGGACTCCAAGGGGCGTGGTCGGCCTCACTGCCGCAGCTCTGCCGTTCCTGGCACACAAGGCTTCTCTTAGTAGTCCGAGGTCCGCTCCACCCACTCGTGTGTCTGTCCTTGGTAGACATCCCACGCTTGCACCATCTCTGATGTCCTGAGGCTGCACCTTCTCCTGTGGCCTCTCTTGGCCTTCCTTCAGAAACACCAGGCTTCATGCTTGCCACGACTCCTTTAATCCTGTAGCTTTTGTACCTTTCAAACCAGTACCACAGGGGAGACTCTTATGTGTTGTCAAGTTCAGGTGTCACTTGAACATTAGCTTCTGGGTACAGCTCTGAGGAAACTCTTTCCTTTGTCCTAATGAAGCACAGAGAGAATTTTACCTCAATAAACTGGTCTCTTATTAATCCCATCTAATTCTTCGACCCTGGCTGACAGCAACCACAGGTCCTTAATTCAAATTATCACACAAATGGCAAAGATAGAAATTACCTCCTTCTGAAACCTCACGAGCCAGGCTGCCACAGTCCACATTTCTTTCTGCATTCTCGGTGTCTGAGTTCCCACAAAACATTCCGTTAATCTCTAAACACCTAATTGTTTTTCCCAGCTTAAATTCCAAAATCCTCCACAGTCCCACAACAGAACACCCCAAAGGCGTAAAACCCACTCATGCTCAACTGCATCCCAACAACATCCTGGTGCTAATCTCCATCTTCTCTACTTTTCGATGGTTCAACACTCTAACCAAAAGCAACTTCAGGGAGGAAACGGGTTATCGGCTTACACTGCAGGTGACAGGGTATCCTAGAGGGACATCAGGCCAAGGACCTGAAGCAGAAGCCATGAAGCCACACTGCTCAGTGACTCACTCTCTGGCTCCGTCCTAGGCTCATGCTTGGCTGACTTGCTTATACAGCAAGAGATCGTCTGCTTAGGGACTGTCATCCATGGTGAGCTGTTTCCTTCTACATCAACTAACTCCCCCATGGACATCCCACAGGCCAATCGGATCTAGGCAGTTCCTGAATCGAAGGCCAGACGATTGTAGGTTGTGTCAAGACGACAGTTAATGCTAGCTGATTCCTTCAGAGATAAAACAGATAACACTTAGGTGAGCTCGGTGCCTCCAGCTTGCAGTAACCACTTGGCAAAGCCGCCCTGTCCCTTCCTTCACTCCTTCCCAAGTGATAGTAGGATCTGAATTATGTCCTGCCTTCTGGAAGGAAGAGGTCAAAGTTCCGGATACTAAGAAGGCAAGTGGAAGATTCCTCTTTTAAAACTCAAGCACTTCTCTGAAAAGCTTTAACCATAATCCCATCAAGGGAGATGAACCTGCCCTGGGGAGCAGGCGCCCAGCTCTCTGACTCCCACCCTCTCCTGCCTCAGACTGGGCTTTTCAGTTTTACTCTGGCCAGCTCCAGCCTGAGGCTGGTCCGGCTGGATGCTGACCCAAGAAACCGGATCTACTTCCTGTTCCTTCTCTGTGTGTCCTGAGCATCAGGACCTCTAGGATGCTCAGCCATCCTGGATGTTCCAGATCCCACCCTAGAAACAAGGACACCAACTGCTGGGGATTCCACCATGCCTCACACCGGAGAGCAGGAGCCTAGGTTTCACTGTGTACCCCCCTCACCAGGCTGAGATCTGGCGGCCTCTTGCTATGCCTACTGCTACAAAAAAGAAAAGCAACAACCTTCTAAATGAATTCACTTTAAGCGAACAACTCAAACCAGCTTCAGAAAATTTTGGCTTGCACTGCCTCATTATGTTCCTAACATGCATTAAAATCGACTTGGGATGGTTTCACAGAGGAGCGCATATTTATGACCCCCCTAAAGCATACTCCGAGACTATTCCCCATTCACCTCTGCCCTCAGCAACACCACTGTGAGGGACAAATGAGGTATCTGTTTGTTAAAGTGCCCCCATGAGAGAAGACACTGAGGCACACTTCTGGGCTCCTGGGGAACACGAGAGGGTGCAATTGGTTGACACATATACACCTGAGACATCTCGCTGACATCAGACGCCATCTTGACTCACTGAAGATCAGTTTAGAGTAAGCCCGGGGCTTCAGTCGCGCTGTGTACCAGTAATGACTGCTTTCAGAGTCCTTAGCTTGGCAGCATTGCATCCCTGTGAGGATGATAAAGGTGTAGGGATGTCAAAGGAGCTCTCAGAAGAAAATGGCTGCTGATGGGGGGGTGGAAAGATAGAAGCAGCTGGAGCTGGCACTTGGTGACCTGGACTTCTTCTGTAGATACAGACTGTTGCTCCATGCTTCAGATGAGAAAAGTGAGCCTCAAAAAGAATGGTGGGCACAGTGCCACACAGTTGGGGTTCACGGAGGCGAGGGTTAACATTAAACACATGCGCCCCACCTGCTTTCTTAGGAAAGAACATGAAGTCAGCCAGTTGTGAGGTCCGATTTGTGGACTCGGCTCACAGTGAATGCTAAGTACCGAGTGCACGCGTGAATGAATACTGGGTGTGTCCTCCACACAAGCTCATACAATGTGTGCGCACACACAGAGACTCCTCCTGTCATTTGTACATATGAACACTGGGCCTTGCTCTGGAGAGACGGCTCAGTGGTTAAGAGCACACACTGCTGTTGCAGAGTCTGAGTCCAGTTCCCAACACCCAAACCAAGCAGCTCACTGCAGCCTGTCCCAGGGGACCTGATGCCCTCTTTTGTCTTCTGCATCCACTTCCCTCACAGACTAACAGGCAAACACACACACATACACACACACACACACCATACATGCCACAGTACACCTCACCTCTCTCTCTCTCTCTCTCTCTCTCTCTCTCTCTCTCTCTCTCTCTCTTAAAGAAAAAAAACAGAAGTAATAAAATGGTCACCTGAAGGGGAGAAGGGCACCCCAAGCCTCACTGAGGCTACCTGCATCGCCTCCTATAGGACTGTCACAGCATTCCCTGTTCTTCCAGCAGTCACCCTGGGGCTAGCCTCATTCACAATGACCCTGTATCAAGCTACTTCCTGAGCATTTGGCTGCAACAGATACAGAGTGACCATTGATCCACATCCTTCCCAAAGACCAGCAGTCACAGGTCAGCAGGAGCACAGCAGTCACAGCAGGAGCACAGCAGTCACAGACAGGAGGAGCACAGCAGTCACAGACAGGAGGAGCACAGCAGTCACAGCAGGAACACAGCAGTCACAGACAGCAGGAGCACAGCAGTCACAGACAGCAGGA